TCTTTAAATTTTGCTATAATTAAAAATCTTCTTTTTTATCTTAAATTTCTTTTTTTATCTGTTAATCAAGTTGTAAGTCAATTGTTAATCAGTTAAAATATATGTCGCTACCAAACTCGTCGTCCCAATTCATCTCGCAACACGTATGTAACTAATGTTTTACGAAACAAAACAATTTATTTCCGACGTTAGACCGGCGGAATAAACTCACAATTGACGTAATGAAATGACGTAGCAAAGTATTCTATTAATAATCCTATCGTCAAAGCTATAGAATAAACAGGGAATATAAATTAGCTCCGGAAACTAAATAAAATATGAAACTAAATAAACTAAATAAAATATTTCCTTTATGAAACTGCTAAAGTTTACAATAATCTTTCTCTCTCTTTCTCTCTCTCTCTCTCTCTCTCTATCACTTTATCTTAGACTTCCTCTCTTTAAAAGCATTTAATTATTTTTTCAATTGCATGTATAGTAATCTGTACAAGACGGAAGAAAGAAATACAATGATTGATGATCACATGAAATTCTGAAGAAAATTTATAATTTTAACACGAATGTAAATTAAAATTATAGTAGAAAATCTCAGCTGTCTTGACTTGTTATATTTATTTTAAGTTTCCTATAATATTCACTCTCTAAAACTACCTAATTATTTTTACAATTGAATGAAACTATTTTAGTTTATTTTATTGCCGTAACTAGAGGGCTGGGAGGAGGGTATCGACGGGCAATGCCCTTCCTTAAAAGGTCCAATGAACGTACCTTAAAATGAAAGATCTTAAAAAGATTAGTCAAATTGGCTTTTTTTTTAAGTCACTTAATTATGACTTCTGCCCTACTAAAAAGTTATTTTGCCCTACTTTAAACTTTGGTCTGGCTACGGCCCTGTTCTGTTAGAAGGAAATAAAATGTTTGATGATCCTATGAAGTTCTAAAGAAAATCAATAATTAAATAACGAATGGAATTTAATAATGCAATGTAAAAACGTGGCTGCCTTGACTGATCATATTTATTTGCTTTAATTTTAAAATTTGAATTAATAATTTTATTTAATTATTAATTAAAATTTTAAGTTCATACAGATAAAACCCCCAGAAATAACTAGTTAATTCTACCATGCCTTTGACTCAGTTTGGAAATGCCATAACAAAATTGTACCTAAATTTAGCGACGTCGACCAAATTGATTAAGCTCCGAATACTATATAGGATTATATACATTTGAAAGCGTCTTTCATTCGAAATCAAAGAAATTTTATATGAAACAAAGAAATTTCTGGAAATCGACATCTTTCTTTGCTTTTATCTTATTTATTTATTTAACTTCAATATTTAGATATTTTTAACAACATATTTATTTATTTATTTATTTGGCATACATAATAGGCGTTTATAAATACAAACTTAAATTTAAATAAATATAAAATAACCTCTGTTAAATCCTTTAGTACTATTTTCCTGTGTTCTCTCTTAATTTTCCTCCATCATTTTCTTCTGTTGTATGTGTGCTATTAAGTATATGTATGTTTATGTATATATTTATTTGTGTATGGTATATGTAGTGTATATATGTGATATTATCTATATAATAGTGTGCCATCTACCCTTTGTCTTTTTCTCAATGTCCTCTACCCAAAGATTGTCTGGAAGAGATTGCTTAGGCCGCCTTTTGTATCACTTCTCATTAATATTTACTGTATTTGTTATTTTTCTTTTTACTTGGTGCAATAAAGTGTAAAATAAATTAATTAATTAAATAAATTAAAAATAATAGATAGCACCACAAAATCACTTCAAAACCACATAGAACTACATTATTCACTAAAAGTGTCTTTGGGATGGCACCTAGAATATATAATAAATTACCTAAATCTCTCACAGACATAGGTGACATAAAAAAATATAAAACTAAACTATATGAATACCTATTAAACAGAACATATTATTCAATTGACGATTTTCTTGGAAATAAATGCAATAAATTTTCATAATATTATAATTTTTTTACTGTAAACGTGACATTGTTGATTTTCTTCTGTATATATATATATATATATATATATATATATATATATATATATATATATATATATATATTTAAATAATTGCGAATTTGTATATGTCGATAGACGGGGTTGATCGTAGAGGATTTAACTTGTTTTACCATCCATTGTTACCTTTTTTTTTTTCATTTAAGAGTTTCCTCTTGTCGGTGCAACTAATTCATGCATCTTCTTCCTGCCAGCTCTATCTCAGGCCATATCCTTGATCTCCCTATGCGACATGACACCTAGTATTTCTTTTATCTGTCCCATGTAGTTATTCCTCGGTCTTCCTCTTCCTCTTTTGCCATTGTTACCTGTTTTATACAACTTAGAATGGCAAACAAGCTGACGGCCCATCTGATGGAAAGTGGTAACCGTCGCCTATAGACATGAGCAGTACTATGGACATAATAGAGTATACTGTTTCGCCCATGATACCCCCCATACGTTGCCATTCCTGAAGACTCAGGTGTCATGCAAATGCAACTGCTTCACGGTTGAAACACGAATGGGACAGAGGTACCCAAGCAATCGACTTTGGTACAAAGTCTCCCTCTGGTAAACCTATGTATCACAAAATAAATAAATGAAATGAAATGAAATAAATTATAACATGCCACTACATGAATGTATTGTTCAGGTAAACTTGCCACAACATGTGCACACAGCGTGATCCAATAATAAATAAGACTGCAACAAAGCCATTCGGTTGCAACAAAGGAAGAAACATAATTTTACGTTTTCTTTATTAAAACAAATAAATACCACTGCAATTTGTTATAACAAATAAAGGTAGAACTTGTCATGATATGATTAATGCCATATGACTTTGAAATTTTATTTTCAAGGATATCCTTATTTTTGTCTTTCTCACTGTCTAATTTCTTTATTATATGGAGTCGGTTTTCTCTATCAGGTAGTACTGTCTTATTTTATTCTTTTATTCTTCTTGTTATAAAGCAAAAAAAATGAAAGAATAAAATCGTAGTAATAGTAAAATAGTGTATAGAAACTGAAAACTCCATTAGCCTTCTCTTATATTAATTACTCAAGAATCACTCATCAAGTGAATCATAAGTGTCACTTTTATTATTTAAAGATCTCATGAGCAACTAAGGATCACGAATTGACACCGAAACTAGTCGAGATTTTTCAATCTAATTACACGTAAGTTAAACCGGTAGTAATTACATTAAAATACACTGTGTACTTGTTTATACGCGACCGCCACTGTAGCATATTTCATTAGAGCACAATAAAAAGATTTTCGTTTAAATTATCGTATAAATAATTTTAAAAAGAAATTCAATCGAAACAAAAAATCTTAACGTTCAATCAGTAACTAAAGATCATGACCCATAAAAAGCCTACCTCAATTGTGATAAAACCAGTTATTTCAATTGAAAAACTAAACTGCTGAACTGATTTTGATAAAATTTCTAAGAGACTAATCTGTTAGTATATACTGGCAGATAAAAAAAGAATTTTTCAAATCTGTTTAGAACTGATAGAGTTATGAAGTATCAAACATAAAAAATACAGCCGAATTGAAAACTTCCTTCTTTTTAACTTCGGTCCATTAATCAAGTTTTAAAATAATTTTTAGTAATATATCATTATTTATAACACTAAAATTTAAAACTTACAAACGCCTGCATATTTCTGTATAGTTCAAGATTCTATAAGTATTCTTGAAATATCGTATGACGTGAATTCTGCCAATTTGTAATACTCGAACACAGTTCATTACGAAACTCGATGACTCATTGCAAAAAATGGTTACACACGTAAGTATCGACATCTCTAAACACTAATTATTCTACGCCAGTGTCATGTGAATACATCGCGTTTCGGTATTCTTAAAATAAACTCTATCCGTGAACACTTTAAACTAAATTCGTACTTCTACAGCACCCCTATTCAATATAATAGATTACTATTGGACATTGACACTGATGTATTAAAACAAAACCGCATGCATTTAAGCTGCAAATAGCGAAATTATTCATTGGTTCTCAATCTGCTATCTGAAATGGCATTCTGTAAAAATATTGCTCTGCTATGTAGGTAGTTTAATTTATTAATAGCAGGCTGCAAATCTGCATCAAAATTCATCTTGTACTAATAATTTCTGTAGATACAAAAACCTTTTAGTTGACAAAGCAAATGTGAAAACTATAAACGGCTCAATATTAACGTAACTTCATCACGTAAATTTATTAAATCGTGCTGTGTGTGTCCAAAAGTCATATAGATAAATTTAATATCCCCACCTAAGACTTACGAAATCTGTCATCGCTATACCAATTTATTTACAACAAAGTTTATAATGACCAGAAATAGCATTGATACAGTTGATATAGCCAGCGTTAAACACTCAGATGTCGTATGGGAGTTTGTGAGTCGTGTGGAAAAGCAGACGTATATTTCTATTTATAAAATTGCCGAATCTTTGCGGAAACACCACGCCAACACCGAATTCAACTGGCCTCAGATTTTTGTGAATAACCAACTCTTCCGTTTTTTGTGTAAACAGCTTTTCTAAATAAAAAAGCATGAACGCTATTATTGTTTTGGAAGGTACCAAAGTTTGGTATTTGATCCACGTAAAACGCGCCACAAATTTTTCAACTTTCCAACTTTCAGATAAAAGGCAAGATTTTTTTATTTCAGACATGAAATTGACGAGTTCTGGGGATAAACTCTTTGTTTTTAAGTACTTCTTTTTGACTTTAAATTAGTACATCCATAAATTAGGGTTGCCAAAGTTCATCCGCTATAAATTTTAGGGGCTGGTAGGTTTAACGGGATAATGGAAATAAATTGTAAACTAACTAAAAGGAATTTTGTTTCCACGCTATTGTTTCAATACTTTACATAATAGAAGTAATGCAGATAATGAAATTGTTCCTAATGTACTTACAATTTATTATTTTAATTTTTCTGCAGGCACGTAAGGAAGCATAGAAAAGATGGAGCAGTTTGAGTCGCTGTTGACGTGCTGCGTCTGTCTAGACCGGTATCGAAATCCAAAGTTGCTGCCATGTCAGCACAGCTTTTGTATGGAACCGTGTATGGACGGTCTTGTCGACTACGTTAGGCGACAGGTAATAGGCCATGGCTTTTTATAATATCATTATTGTGTAATATTTTAAAAACTACCTCGTTTCTAATTGATTGGAAGTAGGTTTTCTTATTTCGAATGTATTTTTTTGTACATTTTTATCTATTTATTTCAGTCAATTTATTTATATGTTATTAAAGATTGCAAAAATAAAATAATATAGACAAGAAATATCTTTTACATTACAATTATAATAATTTTTAATGAATCTTTTAGATTTTGGTTGAATTTGGATACTGAAGCGGATTTTGATTAAACTTTATTTTTATAAAAACATTAACCGTCATATTGATTCCATAGTAGTTTTGACAAAAATGAAGTTTTGGACTTCTAACTGAATGCTTTATTTTTTTTTTTGTAATTTATTAATTCTTTTACAGGTTAAATGTCCAGAATGTCGTGCAGAGCACAGAATTCCTTACCAAGGCGTTCAAGGATTTCCAACAAATGTCACGCTACAAAGGTTCTTAGAACTACATGCTCAAATAGCAGGGGAACTACCAGATCCCACTGCTGGGCAGGTTATGGAGAGATGTAATGTTTGCTCAGAGAAGGCATACTGTGCGTTATGTGCTCATTGCGACAAAAAAGTATGCGAAGACTGCAAGGCGGCGCACATGGAAGTCCTCCGTCGAGAAATCTCAAGAATTAATAACCAAATTCGACGCGGTGTTAATCGACTTCAAGATATATTAAGTATAGTCGAACGTAACACAACAAATCTTCAGACAAACTGCGCTGCAGTAGCCGGTGAGGTGGATGAGATACACAAACGATTGGCAAAAGCATTGAAAGATAGAACCGATTTCCTTAGGAATGAGGTTGATAGATATCTAGCCACTGAACTTAGAAACCTTACCAATCTTAAAGATAATCTAGAGTTAGAGTTAAGCAATATACAAAGTAATTGTGATCTCGCTGATAAGTATATGAATGATGACGTCGAATGGGAGGACACTGAACTAGTCGACACTAAAGAGATTTTCCTAAAAACTGTCGAGTTTCTAAGAAACTTTGATTATGAAGCTGGCGACTACAATCGTAGAATGCGTTTTATCATGACACATGATCCTAATCAGTTAGTGTTACATGTAGCAAGCTACGGTGAATTAAATATTAGCCATCCTAATGTATATTCTGGAGGCTTACAACAAAGTCAAGGGCTGACAAGGTCTAAAAGTGATCATCGCTTAGCATCACAGTTCCGACAACAAGAAGAAGCAAAAGGTTATACAGAAAATGATGAACCTATATTAGGAGGCCGTAAATTTGGAGAACGTCGTCCACCCCCACAAGAAAAACATACAAGAGATTATTCTGCAGCTGCTGACGATTATAGTGGCTATGAATCTGAACATAGGCCATCCCGACGATTCCGGTCACGTTTTGTAAGAAGTCACCAGCAAGATAATGACTCTGATACGGAACAAAATACCCGTGCAGTCAAAGCTGAACAGCAACAAAAAGAAAAAGAAAAGGTTGCTGATACTGAAGATGCCACTCGCGGTCCTCTCAGTGGAATATTCAGACTAAGTGACTGTCCACGTGTAATGCAAAGAATATTAGATGTGGACAGTGGTAAAAAGAAAGAAAAAAAAGAACCTGCACCACCACCTAAACCAGTTCAACCTGCACCTCAAACACGTCGTCCACCACCTAGTGCACAAAGACAACAGAGCGAAGATGACGAAATATCACGTCTTAAACGACAGAACAAGGGTGCAGCTTCATCTCAAGAACCTGATCGAACTCCGCAGCGAGCTACTGATGAAGAACGGAATTCAATAACTCGTAAACCACCCACACCAGCTCGGGAGGTGAGTTGGGAAGAAGAGAGAGAGTGACAACCATGATGACCTTACTACGTAGAACATAGGCACTTCATCGATACTAACAAGGAAAACGCGACAACTAACGGCATTCCATAAAATACACTCCACGTTAACTCATTTGCACACAGTACACAACATGTTAAAGTAAATACTGTTTTGGTGTCCATACCGAATTTCACTATATTTCTCAGGCGTCCAGTGATGGTGAATCCGATGAATCTGTTGGATCTCTACAACGAACACAGCAGCGTAAAAATACTACACCAGTACAAAAGCCAACAGCGACAGCTAGGAGACCCTCGGCTTCTGAAACATCTTCCGCACACCGACCGGCCGCCCGCGCTCCTAGTACGGAATCAAGCGCATCTACAGAAAGTTCCGGCTCGGCGGTAAAACATACAGGTGCGATACTAACTATTGCTGAATTGAAGGCAAAATACAGCAAAGATGGGCTTCCACCAAAATCTGGCACTACTTTATTTTCCGCAGGCAACGAGAGAACAGCACCAGTGACAACGAATGGAACAGCCGGCGGTGCTCAACGGGTACAGAGTCGTTTTGTTGGCTCTCAGCGGCCGACTCCTGTCTCCGCGCCCGCCGAGCCGGCACACGACGATTCCGACACAAGTTCCGAAGAAGAGACCGACTCTTCTGAGGAGAGCGATGAGGAGCCTGCGTCGCAAAGGAAGCCCGAGAGCCAGGCGATGGCTCGCAGTGACATAGGTCCACTACTTGCACGAAGCACAAATGCTCGAAATGACACCCACGAATCTAAAACAAAAGAATCGCCTGCCTCGACTCGATACCGTTCAAGACAGGCATCACAACCAGAAGAAGAACCCCCGTCTCGTTACGGTGCTAGTTCTTCATACAGTAGCCGTTATGGTAGCAAACCCAAAGAAGAAGAACTAACATCCTCTATAGATGACGATTCAAAATACCCAACCGCTCGATCAAGATATCTTGCTTTAAAAGAGAGACGCAATCGTCTTGCTAGAAGCAAAAGTAGCCACACCGGTTTCGGTGTGGGAGATGACGATGATCCGGATGAACCAGTTTCCCCGACTACGGCATCACCTTCAGCGTATCTCGCGGCTCGATACGGCTCCGGTACAGGAGGTTCGGAGTTGTCTCGTAGCCGTTCGTCACACGCTTTAAAATCTAGAGAGAGCTCACCAGAGAGAACGGTTACTGGTGAAAAAGACGGCGCAGCTTTAAGTTCTTGGGCAAGATACTTAAAGAGCAAATACGGGTCTCGAGGCAAGGATAGGGACCCGGGCGGGACGTCATCGAGCACATCTCGTCGCCTGTCTCTCGGGCTACCCTTGCGTTCAGCAAATGAGCTTGCCAGTTCTGATGACGATTCAAAAAACGCGGCAGGCTCCCCCATCTCCCCTACGGCGGCTACAGCAGCGGTAGCAGGTTAGAATAACGAGTGGCGTGTAAATAGGTGTGGAGCTTGAAAATTTGGGTTTCTGAGGTAATTTGTACATATTCTAATGTATTCTTTCGGTCTTAGGTTTCGCAGCAGCAGGTTCCTCCCCTAGGAGCCAGTATCTGCAGAAACGCCGTTTACAATTCAGCGTGGGGAGCCGGGGGAGCGAACCCGGATGTTTTACTTGGCCTCGTGGTATCGCTGTAGGTCCCGACAATACAATGGTCGTGGCTGATTCTTCAAACCATCGAGTGCAGGTATTTCTGTCTGGAATCTCACATATTTACAACTACAAAAATAGTTGATCTACTCACCTAACCTTGTGCCAACATTTCACGACGTATGCAATCCCAAATATTTATGCCAGACAAGTGTATTTGATTGGCAATTATAAATAGCTTTTTCATACTCTTTGCACAATGTTATCAATTAAAGTTTATAGTTTTTAATGTCCCAATGCTGAACATAGCTATTCTTCACAAATATTTAACTCAACACACAGTATCGATAGACAGTGAAAGAATAGGTCTATTAAGATATATGTTATCTAATAATTACTAAACACTACGTGTAAGCCAATTTTATGACGATTGGTTGAGTTGCTAAAATGCTAAGAAATGACAAAGTTTAAAACAACTTTGTTACCTCTTATATATACGAGTACTTATTCACATCTTTCATATTCCTTATATTTACCATTATTTTTCTGCAATTTAATAGTAAACAAACTAACTATCCATCTGATGGGAAATAGTGACTGAATATTCTGTTTTGCCAATTATATCTCAAGCATTGCCATTCCTAAAATGGTCAGGTCCTCAGGAACATCATAAATAATACTACGCCTCTGTACCCTATAATTTCACCGTCATATACTTACTATTCAAACAGATGCTTTATAACAGAAACAAACTGAGACAAAGGTACGCCAGTAGAGGAAGTACAAAATCTCCCTCTGGTGATATTTGCAAGGTTAAGGATTTGATTATTATTGTTTCTTCAGGTATTCGACTCGAACGGCATATTCATGAAAGAGTTCGGCCAATATGGCAGTGGTGAAGGAGAGTTCGACTGTCTGGCGGGTGTCGCCGTCAACCGCATTGGGCAATACATCATTGCGGACAGATACAATCATCGCATACAGGTATGTATTTATACAATTATTAAAAAAAAAAGAAAAAAACTTTCAAATTTCCATATTTAAATCCTGACAATTTAGTACGTATATTAAAGGTAAATTGTTCTATCATATACCGGAAACCAGCTATATATATATTTAACTTTTTGCGGACAAAAACACAAACTATATAGACAGATTTATTTTAATTATACAATCCATAATATTATATAATTTATATAAATAGATATAGGAAAATATATCAATTGAGAGACTGATAATTGCGTTTGAGATTACAATCAACGATTTAAACAAAACCAATAAAAGTTTAAAATAAACATAATGTGTATAATAAATCCTCTATCTAACCACAAATTCACTTAAAATCTGATTAATAAATAAATCTATTGAAACAACTCTACAAAATTAATAACACCACCCAAGTTTCTTTATCAAATGTTAATTTAACTCTAAATACAAGTGAATAAGAATTAAATTCAAAATAAACCTGTGTATGTCGTATAATTTATAATAGCAAAACCCAGTGTGGTTCTTTCATAGAATATCGTTTAAGATTATCAGAACCATTATAGAAAGCACTTAGAATTCTCTTTGGAATACTTCTATCGCACTTTGGATTTCCCAGCGGTCGCAAACACAAATTTGTAGGTATTGATTCGAATATTTTGTATAAAAATATTTCCTCTGAACAAAGCTAAACCCCTAAGGATGAGTTAACCGTGACAATATGGAGCGATTAATAGAAAATACATTTTAATCTGTTATTGTTTAGTGTATACGCGGTTTAGGTTAAGCTAGTGAAGCTTTAGAAATAAATCATTTTAAGTTGATTTGCATTAAATTTGATGTTATATATTAACGGCGTTTTGAGTTGAGACTTTAGGCCCGTGGAGTCTCGAGGCCATGAGTCTTTTTAAAGAGATATCACGCCGGCTGGTATGACATCATCAAGACTAACTGTGGTTGCCAACTCGCCTGCGAATCATGGCAACTACTGGCAAAACTCTCTTTTCTGGAGGAGGCCTATGTTCAGCAAGTTAACGACTGAATAATGATGATGATGAAGAAGAATTACTGTAAATATACATTATACAAACTTGTATGGACTTCTATTTTATCAATATTTCTGCCACCAAGTAACATGTATGCATTCTGTTTTTCAGTTTAGATTATGAGATACTATAAAATTATTAGGAACGATTATGACTTAGGATCGTCGTGTATAAATATAAAATGTATTTCTCTAACAAATATAAGTTGTAAACAAATTATTTTCCAAACGCAATTTGGAAAAAAAATCTCAATATTAATGGGATTTTCAGAAATTGCAGAATTGCGATATGATAGTTAATTATCCAATATAAAAATTTATAGGTTTTACTCTAAAGAATTTACTGAAACCTACTGACCTAGTTTGTAATATAAAATCATAATATGGGCGTGTTTATTTGAAATAAATAATATTAAATAATTCATTTGTAAATTGCATATTTTATATTTGCAAAAGCAATATTATATAAATAATTATTCAATCTTATTTATATATTAATTTTATATTTTATTTCCGTTCTTATTAATATTATAAACATCAATGTGAATTTTAATTTTTTTTACCTTATATTGCCTTAACAACTTAACTGATGACTATAAAATTTGGTATTACTATATGGGACGGAGAAGGATATAGTCTACGTTTTACCCCGGTCAGTAAACAAATCCCGGTCACGCAGATGGAGTTGCAGGACTTTAATTAAGAATTATTGAAATTTTTATTATAATAATTTCGTATTTCATCTCAACAGGTCTTCGACCCTCAAGGGCGCTTCTTACGGGCATTTGGAACTCAAGGTACAGGAGACGGGAAGTTCAACTACCCATGGGGCATCACCACGGACGCCCTCGGTTTTATATATGTGTGTGACAAGGAAAACCATAGAGTGCAGGTATGTTTGTCTCTATCTTTAATAATTTTACTTGCACCCGATATTAGGTATATGCTTTAGTCTAACTTTCTCTATATCTCTATGAGTTGCATCTTATTTCTTTTCTATTTAATGGAAAATAGAAAAAAAATTATAAAATGTTGTAATCTCTCAAAATATTTATTTAATTTACATTTTTTTTTAAATCTATGCACCGCCTTTACTCTCTCTCTGTTTAGCGTAATGGTTGACTGGTAGAGAATGTCATCAGGCATTAAGTCCGTCCTGTAGACATATTTTAATGTGTGCAAAAGTATAAATAAATAAATAAAATACTAGGAATACTATTACTATATTTATCAACTTATAGTAATAGTACCCTTTATACGTTCCCATTTATGAGGTTTATGGAAATATTAAACGAATAAGCATTAACAATAAGCACTCCATGATTTATATCGTGTATGATAAAATATCATAGAGCTGCAGTTGTTTTATGGTAGATAGGCCTAGGCTTGTTTAACCATTCTAAGTAGTATATTATTCAAAAGATTAGGTAAATTTAGGTAATACAAGCGTGGTAGCTTGATTACTATCTACAGGATCTATAATCAGTATATAAGTAGATTGAATTTCAGTTTGTATTTTAAAATATTTTTTGCATTCAAAAATGACATTTATTTATTTTATACATCGACGTAAGCCCTCAATTGGAATGTCTCATTATAAGACTTCATAATAAATAACGAAGACAGTTTAAAAATTTCACACCGGATGGCGCCACCGTAACTTGTTAATTAATTTGGTATCCAATAATAGATAATATTTTATATTAAAGTTTTCTTACACTTCTAAATGTAGGGAGAATAATGAATTGAAACTACAAATAAATTAGGTATATTTTTGTGTATCAAAAATAGTATAAGACAAACTGTTTAATCTGACTCGCTTAATAGAATCATCATAATATCAGCTGTTAACTCTCCACTGCTGAACATAGGCCTCCCCAAGTTTTTTTCCCAAGTTTTGCAAATAATTGGACACTTCACGCTTGGCAGACGAGTTGATAACCGTAGCTAGGATTTGGTGATGTTTTAAGAGAGACTTCGCTGTCTATCCCTCGTTCCCTTAGTCTCCTCTTACGACACCCACAGGAAAAGAAGGGATGGCACATTCCATGCAGAGACGATACGGCATTTAGTTAAATGTACGTACACAATTTACAAATCCAAACATTGAATGTAATTTCGAATCAAATCAGGTATTTTCTTTACTTCGATTGTGTTGATGTGAAACGCCGATATTAATTTTAATTAAACATAACGCTGATATAAATTTTAATTAGATCGAAATTTAAACCGATTTTATTAAAATTTGATGAGAAAATTTAACAATTCCGTATTTAGGAAAATACAAAGGGCAAATTAATTACAATAAATATTACGATTTCCTAGAATTATGAATTTTCAATTTATAATAAAATTGCGCATAATTTCATAATAAATAAATGCGACGGAAATTTTTTTCCTGATAAAAAATAATCTATAATATTTTATTTGAATTAATACAGAAGATTAAGTTATTTCACCGCGGTCCATGAACCTGCGTTGTAGAATGAAAAATGGACGGCAGATCTGACCGATGACTAAGAATAATAGGTTTTTGTCAAAATTCATTCGAGCACGAAAATTGGTAACGACTTTCCATTAAAATATTCCTTTTCAATATTAATTTTGTTGGATAAACGCGAATTAGACGGACGAGGGTGGACATTTAGCTATTTTAATATACTTTTAGTTTTGTTTAATATTAGCTCTTTTTCCTATATACATTAGGTACTTGTATTTTTCTGTACACATTAAAATATGTCTACAGGGCAGAATTAATGCCTGATGACATTCTCTACTAGTCAACCGTTATGCTAAATAGATGATCTTTACAACTGACTTCAAGAAAGTAGGTAGTTCTGAATTCGGTTATAGTTTTTTTTTTATGTTTGCCACCTCAGAACTCTGCTGTTTTTAAACTAATTTATAAAATTCGATTATTATCTGAAAAGATATCCTTTCAAATTTATCATATAGAAATTTAATATAAAATTATAAAATTTAATATAAAAGTACATTCTATTTCAGGTATTTCAATCTGATGGCACGTTCGTGGGCAAATTTGGTTCCTTCGGCTCGAAGTTGGGACAACTCGAGCACCCTCATTACATAGCGGTGTCTAGCACCAACCGAGTACTAGTCTCAGACTCTAACAACCACAGAGTCCAGGTCTTCGATGTGAATGGACGGGTGCTGTCCTCCTTTGGCGAGGAAGGCTCTGAAGATGGACAGTTTAAGTTCCCCAGGTAAACAAACAAGGAAAAAAATGTTTTATTCGCCGACGGTGTTTCTTTTTAATAAATGATAATAAAATTATTACCCCGCCTGCGCTAATGGTATACACCGGCGTACATACTGGTGCCCGTAAGGGATGATAGATGAGAATGAAAAGGCAGGTCAGTTAGCCCATCATAATAAATACTACATGGAGGTCAACCTGATAAGGTATATTGCTAGCAATTGGGCTAGTAGTTCGCATTATTAACAACCTCCCCCCCCTCGCAGACGGGGTTACCCTTTTTTTACGATAACAGAAACATCATGTGCGAACAAGACACACTTATTCTCAGAGACTTTAGGTAAATCATTTATATAGATTAGAAATAAGAGTGGGCCCAAAATACTGCCCTGAGGTACAGCGGGTCTGTTATGTTTTCTATCAGATTTTTATGATGTCAGTATTGAGTCTAGTTGAGTTTAGTCACTTCAACAGATTGATATCTGTTCGAAAGGTAACTTTTTAACGATTTCTGTGCTGGACCTTGCATTTCACTATTATCAAGTTTTGTTAGAAGTGTTTCATGGGATACATAATAGAATGCTTTTTTCATATCAAAAAAGAGAGCTATGAGTACATTGTCATTTTTATTATCCATATTATTAATACTATTACCAGTTTTATCTCTAAATAAAAATAATCGACTAGACTAGAATCCTTATCATATAAAAGACTCGTGCCTACTCAGCAATAAGATATTTATATTATGCATAACAAATTTTATGACCTAATCGTTTTTTTTCTAATAAGAATAATGCCTACTAATACCAATTACGATAAAATCCGCCCGTTACGGTAAACAAAAATATAAATTACATCGAACATTGATCTAACAGACTTTATCAGCCTACACAATAATTTGAGTAAAGATTTTTAAAAATCCAACGTTACTGGGAATTATTTTAGAGTTGGCTCACATAAATCTATAAATCACGTACACCAATCCTTTTGTAATAGGAACACTTTTGTAATAGGAAATTGAAACTACAATTATTCTATATTGGTAAACACAACAATAGGAATTATTTAAGAGTAGGATCACATAACGCCATAAATTACAGTCACAATTTCTGTAATAGGATTGTAATAAGCAATCGAAATGGAACGGTCCACCCCCATCAACACCTATAAATCAGTTGTTACCGCAGTACGCGTTAGCAATATGAACACAGGAGCTAATGTTTTGGTACAATTAGGGTTGCCACCTCTAAATTAAATAATCCCGGACAAAAAGTTGGACATATAAAAAAATTGAGGATTTTTTTTATGTTAGGTACTTTTATTTTAAATAACGTTATTCACCAAATGAAAATATAGTACTAAAGGCAGATTTAATGCTAGCAGCATTCTCTACAAGTCAACCTTTAGGATGGACAGTGAAGTGTCTATTTTCTGAAGGAACTTGTATCAACTCATTTATAAACATTTCAGTTAACAATTTCATATAGTTTAGATGCAATAATTACCTTATATATATATTCAATTTTATGAATAAAATTAAAATCCGGATAAAGTTCGAATAGATTAACAGAAGTCCGGATATTTTTGGATTATACTAAATAGGTGGCAGTGGCAACCCTAAATATAACCTTGTGCTCCCATCAGCTCATAAACTGTGGTTGGCTGGTCCTCTAATTTCACTTTACGATCGGCTAAGCTAAGTATTCGCACACCAAATATTTATCGGTCCCCTTCTCTATATTGATTCAAATCCTAGATTATCTAGTTATTATTGGGATAATAATTAAATATTGGTAATAATAATAAATATTTATTAGTTGTTTGTTTGTTATCTCTTCGTGCCTTAATTCGGCTAATCAATCATTATAAAATTTAGTATACACGTACAATATAAGATTTTTATCTTGGTCAGTAAACACGTCATTGTCACGTGGACGAAGTCGCATGTAGAAGCTTGTACGCTATAAAAATACAGTAGAAAATATTTTCCTGTTTATTTTTAATAATCAAAATTTCGTTTACCAACTTATCCTTATTAAAAAAAAAGCTAAACATTTTTAACAACAGTATCATACTAATCCCTCTTCCTATTTAGGGCGGATAGTAACTATTTTCCACCACCTGGACTCTGCTCATTTGCCTTTGCCTCATAGCAATAAAAAAAGTTGTAAAAATATACACGCTCCTTGGCCGAATTCTCTTAGTGAAGTACAAAATAATTGTGACCCAAATCTGAATTAAAAATAAACGCATGTAAATCGTGCTTCATGAAGCGAGCGTTTTTAGCATCGTAAATTTATTTTTGTTACGAAAAATAGAGATCAAGGTCTAATATTTTAATGAAGGTTATTGATATTAATAAAATTAAAATGTATTGATTATTATGTAGTCCTGGTCCTTGTACAACGCACATGTTATAGAACGTAGCAGATTTAAATAGTTACTATTTTAACACATGTGAAAGTGTCAGAATACGAAAATGCCAGCAAATTTACAGGGTACAGAGGAATACCACCTGAGCCCTCAAGAATGGCAACGCATGGGGAGAATCATGGGCGAAACAGTATACTCAGTTATGTCCATGCTACTGCTCAAGTCTATAGGTGATAATTACCATTTTCTATCGAGTAGGCCATCAGCTTGTTTGCTATTCTCAATTGCAAAAAAAAAATGTAGAAATATGAAACCTAGGTTGGGCCCGGGTTCTAGGTCTCATCAAAGAAGTTTGAAGGTCATAAAATATATATATATTTTAAGATAATGTATATCCTTTTAGGGGTGTGGCTGTTGACGACCAAGGCTACATCGTAGTTGCCGATTCTGGAAATAATCGTATTCAGATATTCCATCCTGATGGCACGTTCCTCCGAGCCTTCGGATCTTGGGGATCTGGGGACGGAGAGTTCAAAGGTCTGGAAGGCATCGCTGTTATGTCTGGTGGCAACATTATTGTATGCGATAGAGAAAACCATAGAGTACAGGTGTTTTGAGGTGAGTATTAATATTTTTTGATAATTATTAAAAAAATTATATGTTTTAATTTTAATACGTAAAAAATATGTTTATTTTTTAATACTTTTAATAATTGTTTATTTTGTTTATATTTTTTATGCCGTTTTATTATACGAAATCAGTAATTTGATTACGAATACATTGTTGGATGTACTGACGTACTTGTGCTATTATGTTTTTGTTTTTTTTATTTTTATACATGCTTTTATCTTACTAAATCGATATAAATATAAATTTATCTCAATATCTATGTATCTATCATTACCAATATTTCACAAGGGCCAAATATAAGAGGTCTTTATAAATACATTATATACTTATTTGGACCTTTTTAAAAGTATGTCATCGTCATCATCATCTTCCTACTCTAATGTCAATTCTTATTTGGGGTCGTCGTAATATGTTTTTCTCTTCCATTCTGTATTTAAAAGTATATAATATATATAATTAGTATAACTATCTATTTATTTAATGAATTCTATATTTATTTTATACAACTCAAATCGATTGAACATATTATACTATTCCATTATAAATTATATATATAATCGATCTAACTTAAACAAAAAGTAAATTAAATTAAAAATTTTGTCAAAATAATATTCATATTTCATTATCTATTTACATTAGTATGAATAAATAAATAAATGTCATAATTTATTTTTATTTCAGATGGCCATCACATTGTTCAACGAAAGTGCAAAACAGCATCAGCAGCATTACTCGTAATACTCCATTTCAAAAATATTTTTAAGTATTTTGTTTTTTTTTTTTTTTTTTTTGTAAATAATTTGTACAATCTTTCAATATTTGCTATTTACAATATTATCTCATTTGCTATCCTAAACATGTTTGCGTTCAAAACGTTTCTTTTTGTTATATAAAATTTAAATAAAAGAATTTTTTCTTGTAAACTTTTTATTAATTTTTCGTCTGACGGAATTTTAAAATACGTAATTGAGTTAGGTCTTGAAGTTAATCTTGAAATAAACTTTATAACATACATTAAGTAAAAAAAATGATGTAGGTAAGTAATGTAAAGTATTGTCTTTATATATTTGAAACCTAGTCATTAATCTCTATTTATTTATTTTGGCCCAACTACAGATGATTTCTTTTTTTTTTTAAACCATAAAGAGATAAATTATAAAAATAATAAATATAATAAAAAATATAATTTATAATTAATTAAATACTCATATACGAACAACAATATAAATTTTAATTACATTTTAAATAAAAATATTTTTTAAATTTTCGTAATCACACACTATATTCTAATGTGATAACTACTGGTTTAATTTACGTGTACTTAGATCGAAAAATCTCGACTAGTTTCACGATCAATTTGTGATCCTTAGTCATGAGCATCTGTGATGTGAGTGCGAGCCTAACAATTGCGTCACAATCCAGTAGTTATTACGTTAAAAATATTTTTATCAATAATAAACTACATTTGTTTATAATTGTATATAAAATTTCCTTAGACAAAACTGAAAACAGACTCGCCTCTCGTAGTCAATCATTGTCAAGCACTCAATGTGACAATTAACACTTAAACAAATGAACTCCAGTACTTAATAGATAGAAATTCACCAATAGCAGGCTTAGTACGTCTGCGTTTACAAGATCTATGATCGCGTTACAAATTGTAACGTATAAGTCAACAACTTTAATTATGTTGTTTCTTTTATTACTTAATTATATAATTTTCAAATAAAAGTTATATTATAATAAAAATATGACTACAAAATGGCTTTTATTGTAATATAATTATAATTATTTTATTTTACTTTTAATCAGGATTTTAAAAGGTCATCACAGTTAGATTACAGAGACATTTTGTAACGAAATTAACACTCAATTGCAAACATTTTATCTCTACGAGTATTTGAATCCAAATGAATGTTAGTTTGAACTTACAGCCATACTATTATCACCACTCGTATGAGTAAGACGCATCAAGAGTTTATATATCATCTTTGGTACACTCAAAGGATTCTAATATGGCATGTATTTTATTTTACGTTTATATATTTATAATCATCATCACACCTGATTTGTAGATTATAATGCGCTACTATATTAATAATATCATATATAGTTCAAATGATAGCCGTAAACTATTTGATAATAGCGAAGTTCAACATCAATAATATATAAATTAACTTATAAAAAAATGAGACTGTAATGAAATATTACACTTTCAACCGAGCTTTGCAATTGATATGATGTTAGGCATACGTAACTATTATCTGGAACATTTTTTTCTGATGTCAGTATTAGCAATAAAAAAAGAATTTAAACTAATTAATAATTTAAATTAATATCATTGTAACTCAAGAACTTACTATTAAAAGTACTATTTGTACTTTATATAAATTTTACTGGTACTTTTGTTTTTACTTACGAGTATAAATATCAATCAGGATGAAGTAAAATTTATTCTTAAAGTTACTTTCTGATTTTATACTCTAAAGTGCTATCATTATAGTAGTTGCACTATACCGTATATTTATCAAAATTTCTATATTCTCAGTCTTAAAATAATGTGACTGGAAACAATTCCGGTCACATCGGGTATGAGAAATTACTAGATTTCTCAGATCGAAACTACGTACTCGATTTTTCGTATTCCGCTGTATTCGCGATGATTTAGTAATCGAGTAGTACCATAAAGTACGCAATAAAATTTTGATTATCCCGAGTTATTTCAGATATACATTCGGGTGTAACATGGAAATATTTATTCAACGCATGAACGTAATAGTTGTAAAAAGATTGCGATACATTTCTTTCGTATTTCACGTTACAGACGACAACATAAAACTGAATGTTACCATTTGTAGTGATGTATAACTTTCTTCATATTTTATATTGTTGGTCATAAAATACAAACATAGTTTTAAACTCGTGTTTTTTTTTAAACTGAACGTGACGCGATTAATAAATAGTGCTTCATCATCATCATATCAGCCGTAACTCTTCACTGCTGAATATAGGCTTCCCCTTGAAGGTTTTGCCAGTAGCTGCCACGTTCGGCTAGTGAGTTGGCAACCATAATTACGCTTTTGATGATGTTTTAAAAACAACGTTGTTTCTCATCTCTTGATTATTATGTTCCCTTAGTCGCCTCTTACGACACCCATGGGAAAAGAAGGGGTGGCCCATTCTATGCCGGGACCACATGGCAAATAGTTCTTATACACGAAATATTACTACGTGTTTGATTTTATAAATTTCAGATAAGGTCTATTGTGGTTTTGTTTACTCCCAACTTAACTTAATTAATAAATATCTTGAGTTCGAAACTGGGCCACATATAATGTTGTTATTCAATTTAGATTTCTGATTAACACTGTTGTGTTAATAACACTGTTTACCAGTTAACTTGATAAAGCAACTGTAAAGAGCTCGATGCATTCGTATTGGATTCAAATGCGCTATAAAATGTGGGCAATTTTAGTAGTATGCCACTACAATGCAACAATTGTTTAATACTTCAGATGCTCCTATACAAGTATTTAGTCACAGAATATTTTGTGACTTAGAAGTAAATGAATCAAGCGATAGATACGGTTTCGTCACCACTCGCATCTGTAAAGATAGATATCTACACCGTACGGCGGCGAAAACATCTATTGAAAAATTTCTTTGCTGCTTTTTTTAAAAGATCTGACTTTTATTTGACTCGACTATTTATAAAAGAGTATAAAGAAAAGTATGTTATTTATTCACTACTTCGTCAATCGTAGTAGAGTTTTAAATATATATTCAATTAAAATTTATATATTACAAAATAATTCACAAAATTTGTTCATTTACATCAAAATCCTTTATTTATATTTGGAGAACACTATTAGTTAATTTTTGTATAAATTTAACTCAATGAGTGTAAACAAAAATGCTTTTAACCTGCATTTTTGTAATAAGGATAATTTTAAACATAGAAATAATATGCATTGCATTATTACAAAATATATATTATTTACAATATAAAAATGCTATTAAAAATAATATATATATACATATAGAATGTATATAATTTTGGGATACCATTACTGTAGATACTTACGACATCTAGTCATGGATTATTGTTAATTCAAACTTTATTGAACGAATAAAAAAATATATGTTTATAAAATAACGATTATGAATATTTATAAATTTAAAATCGAAATGTTATAAATTTTCAAGGCTAATTAATTCATATTTAAGTATTTCGTGAATTTTTAAATTTAGAATCAAGAATTTTTTATTGAATATATTAATGTCACAGCTGTTGCTTCCTAATAGATTTTAAATGTAATTAGATAATGTAAACCATTATACTGAACTTTAATAAGTATAATTGTATGATTTTTGAATTTTTAATAAAAAAACAACTTGTTACAGAATAGCGTTTTATTTAAACCTACCTTTGTGTTATTTTTGAATATATATTCACAAAGTGAATATATATTTAGTAATCCTATCAACTGTTGTTTCATTGAATAAATAAAAAATATACATATCTGATCATCAGATTCGAAGTCGGTTGAAAGCAACTATAATATGATGCAACGCACAGGGCTTACACAAAGAGAAATTTTATATATTCTTTATTGCACTTGTAAATTACATTGTTAATGCATATATAAATATTGTAAGCAAGGTTGGACTTATCTCTGACAGAGATCGCTTTCAGTCAACGCAATACATAAACAAATATAAAAATAAACAGTTGAATGGAATATCAATACTATAAATTATTTTATCCAAGTCCAACGTCTCCAATTGTTACAAATACTCATACTACAAAATGGTGGCAAAAATAATACAAAATGGCGTCTTTCGATGCCTAATAAATTTGTTTAAAATTTCAATGTTTGACACGAAAATTAACTTTAATCAATACATAAAGGAATATAAACGTAAACAGTTAAATAAAATATTAATATGTATATTAGAATATAACATAAATATATATAATATTATATAAATTATTTTGTCCAAATCCAGTGTCTCCAATTGGTACAAAATCTCATACTACAAAATGGTGTCAAAAATATTACAAAATGGCGCCTTTTGATGGCTAATAAATTTGTTTAAAATTTCAATGTTTGACACGAAAATGGGGTCATTATACGTAACTGCGGGGTGCGGACTCGTGAAATGATAAATGGTCCTCTTTTCGCCCGTTTTTTCGCCTCGCTCTATAATATTTTTGTGACACGCGTAACTGGTGACAAAGGAGTCGGACTAAGTGGGGATAAATAAGGCAAGTCGCGCTAAATTGAACAATGCCATTATTGTACTGTTCACCTGGGCATCTGGTATTTGTTATAGGCAAAATCTAATTTACCTTGTACGGAAGTGGAACGCGTAGATGTCACAATGTTATTCAGTGATGCCCATTGTACTTTTCTTGTTTATGTCTGTACTAGCAGTCCCCACAAATGTTATGTAACCCAGATCAATTTCCTTTTATCAGGATAAAATTTTACCTTTCACTCGCTTTAATTATATACAATAGACAAATCCATATTAAAATGTATACCTTTAGCAATGTCGAGTAGTCCCAGCATAGAATAGGCCACTCCTTTTTTTTCGGTGGCTATCGTAAAAGGCGATTAAAAGAATTTAATAGTCGAGGGATGGGCAGCAACGTCCATATTAAAGAATCTTTAAAGACTAACTACGATTAGTAACCCGCCTGCCAATCGTGGCAAGAACTGGCAAAACCCTCCTTATGGAGGAGGTCTTAGTTCAACAGTGGAGAGTTAACTGATATAATAACAATAAGCAGTGCCTACTGACTATCATCATCTCAGCCATTATCTGTCCACTGCCGAACATAATCCTTCCCCATAGACTGCCACAAGGAACGGTCCTGAAGAACCTGCAGCCACAGGCTCCCTGCAATGTATTCAAGGCCTACTGACCATATTATTGAAATAATTTGGAATCTCACATCAATTTATAAAGTAAATAATTGTAAAAAATAAATAAATAAATAAAATCTCGAAGCATGAAGGGCTTCACAATATCATATCCATGACGTTATTCAACATTCATTTGTCTGTTGGCGATATTTATCAAACTTTATTAAAGTCGATTTTTTTTTGATGGGTGAAAATGGTATGGTAATGGTATGGTATTCCGCCTGCGCTAACGGGATACGCTGGCGGAGCACCAGTGAAGTGTGATAGATGAGAATGAAAACAGGCCAGTTAGCCCATCATGATGAATTCATCAGGAATTAACCATGATAGTTTCCAGGGAGAAACGCGAGGAGGTCGACCTGGTTGGATATATTGCTAGCAATGGGATTCTCAGTCTCCATTACTAACAATCCCTTTCCCCCCTATTAAAGTCGATTGAACAGTTTCGGGGATTATGGTGAACTATCTACCCTCTTAGTGACAGAAATAGTTATTAGTAAAGAAGAGAGAGATTAAATTAGATTTATAAATAAATGGTGTAGTTACCATAATATCATTATTACTCATACAGAAAGAGAAGCCTGTAAGTTACATTCAAAATTATATTAGACACATTTCGTCTATTAATAGTTGAACATTTCTCTTCCTTTCTAAAGACTAGAAACCATTAACGTACCTATAAATTTAGAGTTAATTTATACTGGTGACACTTATGGCATGATACCTTTCCGAATTTTTTGCAATTCGGAATTTTTCTGCGCCAAGCGAATAATTTTTTACATATGTTTTTTTCTTGGAAAAATTACAAAAATAAATTTGAATGTAGAAAAAATATATCGTTCGAATTTCTATCCCGTTAGTGTCGTACGAAGGGCAGCAGCGTTACTTTTAAAACATCATCAAAGCGTAACTACAGATTACCAAACTGTTATTGTCAAGTGTGGCAACTACTAGCAATACTCCGAAGGGAAGAGGCCAATGTTTAGTGGTGGACAGTTAAAAGTTGATATGATGGTAATGGTGAAGTGATTCCAATACATTAAACTGCTATACACAAGGAAAAATACAGTGGGTATGATGCGCGAAACAGTTTACTCTGTTATGTCCATGGTACTGTGTATAGGCGACGGTTACCACTTTCCATCAGGTGGACCGTCAGCTTGTCTGCCGTTCTAAGTTGTATAAAAAAAAATCTCAGTTAACTTGAATCCGCAAATAAGTTATACATACAGACAGTGGTGGATTTGCTCTAAGACTCAGAAAGCCCGGGCCTAGGTGACTAGGGCCAGTCGTGACAAAAAATTCACTGGTGATAACAAGAAATATGTAACTCGAAGTATGTATAATTAAAAAAAAACCTCGGAAATAATTATAAACTAGTAGATTTTATAGTTAACTAAATTTCTGAATGGATTTCGATAAAAGTTGGCAAAAAGTAAATTCATTATGCACTCAGTATGATGGGTGCTGAGAAAGGGGTGGCTGGTACTTACCACATGGCCTGGGGCCTAAAGCGGTCAAGACTGTAAATCCGCCACTACATACAGACAATTGTAGAACACTTGTCTCACTGTGCTGAAGAACTTAGACAATAGAAATTTCGCAAAAAGATAAAAAAAAAATTAACTATGCGCTAAAATTTACTATGCATAATTCCTAATTGAGTTAACTATTTAAATTAAAATTTCTAGCGTTGTATAGCGAATTATCCCATCTGGTGAAGGGAATTCCACTAGCGATCCGCACAATTAATTCATGTAACGTACGGAACACATTCGAAGCGTGTTAAATAAAACCATTACTTACAATTTGCGTCGCAATAACTTAGCAAACAACTGTAATTAATCAAACACATTGGCGGAGTGGCTCAACTTAATATGCGAAGGAATAACTTGGTATGTACCAGGAGATCATAGCTATGGGACTAGTAGCTCGTTATTTCTTCTATACATTCTATTTCCTACTGCATACTATTTATTATAAACGCGGACGTTTTTCGAGATGTACAGATTGTTTTATACCACTGAGGTGGCAAACAAGCATACTGCCCACCTGATGGTAACCGGTTACCGTCGCCTATAAACACCTCCAATACCAGGGATACTATACGGGCGCGTTGCCGACCCTGAAGAAACCTCTTTACCCCCCTTTTAAAAACTTCATGCTGTAGTCTCGTAGGAAAACCTGCTGAGGGAGCTCATTCCATAACCTAAGTGTTCAGTGTGTTGTTTGTTCGTCTTTTACGTGAAAACAACTTAACGGATTTAATTGAACTTTGGCACACGGATAGGTTATATTCTAACGACACATATTGGATACATAAGTCTTCAAAAGGTAATTCGTTTCTCAAGTAAAAATCAATATTAATTTTGAAGTTAGTGTTTTTACAAATCAGAAGACCTAGCTCTTATAGAATGGTGGCAAAGGGGTTGATTCTAAGGTATTATGTTTTTAAAGCTATCTCTAAAATAAAAAAAAAATACTTTTAATGCCAAATGAATCAAAGAACCAGTATAAGCATGATTAGAAATTTAGTTGAAATTATTATAAATTTAGTTTTTAATGGTGTATAAAACAGTAAATTCTCGAAATTATCCTATAATTATTATTAATATTTTTTTACAATTTTTTTAACCGAATTCAACTTAAGAAAATACTTTACATGTACCAGGATTTCATGGCTAGAGTAGTAGTTCTTTTATATCATTAATTGATAATTTGTTGTAATTATAAAGAGGACTGAAGGCTCAATCTCTATATTTACAATAGACTAAATTTATTTC